GTTTGGTCGGTTTACTATTTCCTCTCAACATCTACACTAATGTCTACTTTTTACAAGTTCTATCCCATCGAATACCTCATTTGGTGGTGGGCAGAAATCTTTATGACATTACTGTCCATCGTGTTTAGTATATATTATGATAAGGTAAGGTAATGTTTTAATATAAGTAGTTATTATTAATAAACATTTTCATACTGATTTGCACAACTATAATATATAAAATGTCTGTAAAATTTATAACTTGTAGTTAATTAAGTTACAAGCCTGCTTAATAATAAAAATTATACTAAAAAAGAATTTCCTACTGATATAACACTTACTGATAAATTTCCTTTTTTTAGATACTTAATGACATAATTTAAATTCAATGTATGATTATCTCAATTGAATGTCTAAGAATAATAAATTAAAAAACATCCATATGTCCTTGAAATATCAAACAGCTATTAGATACAGAACATAAATAAAGTCTTGAATTTTTGGATAAATAATAAGTATCTGACTACTTCACATTCTTTGTTACAGAAATTCTGGAACTGTCTTAAAAAGCTCGATATTGTCGACAACACATTGCTTAAACTGGGAACAATGACGGATTATGACAAACTACGTAAAAAAACACTATGGGTTGTCTTAGGATGGTTTGCAATAGTCACATTAACGAATTGCAGTACACTATCATATGTAAAAAAGAAATATGACTGCAATGTTGCAAAAGCCATGTGTTACACTTTTATAACAAACTACTGCTTACATATAAACTTTATTGGTGATTTAACTACCGCAAGTATTCTCGAGTTGGTACATTTTTCTAAATACAATTACTATCTATTACTTTCTTTCGAGTAGTCGTATGCATAAATTATATGATTTCCGAAGTCTATTTAAAAATATTGATATAATATGCTGTTATTTACAAATAAATATTTACCTTTCCATACTTTCTTAATATTTAGATACACAGGATTAAAGTTTGATCAAATTAATGAACATCTTCAGAACTTGATGAGAAATAATAAACGGAAAATAAAACAGGCTTGGGAAAATCCTGTGACATATCCGCGCCAACACAGATGTTCAAAAAGATTAAGCAACAAGTGCATAATATGGATCGTTACGTAAGAAAATTTACGTAAATTGTACTGCTAAATATTAATAGATATAACTAAAAATTACTCAAATTTACGTCAATTGTAACTGCAGTAATATTACTAAAAACAATTTACAAATAGTAATATACACAAAATGAAACTTTATATGTATTATACATATATATACATCCAGACATCTGCATTTGGAGCTGCGCAAAATATCCTATGAAATAGACTCAATATTTGGAACGCAAATGACTTTTAAAATGGCATACTATTTTGGCATGATAACACTTGACTTACGAGAAATTATCTACACAATTCTAATCAACAATTATATGAAATCTGGAATAATATCTGCCGCTGTGAATTTTGTTTGGCTCTCTTATAATGTTTTCAAATTTCTACTCATTAACTATTTCTGCGAAATAGTCTCCACCAAGGTATTCATTTTACATATAATTTCTACGTAACATCAATTTAAATTCTGTTTATTAAAAAAAAATAAATTAAAAATTTGACTGTTATTAATTTCCAGTGTTAAAATTAAATTAAAAGTTTCTTCAATTACAATCAAAATATACAATTTTAGGCAAGGGCAACAGCAGATTTATTAAATAGATTATCACATTTCACTTGTGACGTTGAAATTCATGAAACCGTAAGTTTTATTAAGATAAGTTTATTGGAATGATTTAATATAGACATATTAAATAATTTTGACAAATATAAATAACCAACAAAATGTACATTATAAGTATTGCATTGTGTTAATTTAGATTTCACAGTTTTCATTACAAATAGTTCATGCTCCACTTAGATTCTGCGGAATCGGATTTTTCCAGTTTGGCTTCAAATTTCTTTATACAGTACGTTATATTTATTGTCCAAGTATATACCACAAATAGCTACAAATATTTAAAAGAAAAACTTACACACTGTCTTTGTTTTTAGTTTATAACGTCTATTGCGGCCGTTTTAGTTATAATAATACAAGCACAAGCAAATAGGTAAACATTTTGATCAAATTATGACAAAATTCATAAAAAATAGTTCAATAAAAATGTAAATAAACAGTTTAAATAAAAATCAATGTATATTTCATAAAATGCATTATATGATATCTCCTGGATTTGCTGTGGTATAATTATTATTAGTATTTAGAAATAAAAATATTGAATTAAAAATATTTTATGGAATAATGAGTAGTAGTAGTATAGGTAATTAATATTTTTTATTATTGTCATGTATCTATTCTACATTTGTTCATTATTTTCTTCATTATTAACAAAATTACTTTTTCCATATAGTTCTTTATATATAATTGTTCAATTAATATAATTAAAAAAAACATTTTATAACTATAAATTTATGGTATTTGTATGTTATGTATTTGTTACAGCTGTAATATATATGACGGTTAAAATATATCTTGCTTAATAAAATATTTAAATAAGTATATACTAGATATAGCTCTATACAAAACCCAAATAAAGAAATAAAAAACAAAATTGACAAGAACAATAATATTCTTATTTCTGTTATGTACACATTATGTATACACATCTGTTTGATGTTAAAACAAGTAGTCCATCATCGGACTTATTGCGATAGATTATAAAACATAAATTGTAATAGACTGATTACTTTAATATCCATAAGTGCCTTAATTGAAATTGCAAGGATCTACTATCGTTACCATTCGTAACCTTCTGCAAACACCTGTTCAACCTGGTCAACAAAAGTTCAGTTT